AATAATGTTGATTTTTTCTGCTCTGTTGAGACTCACTGTAAGCATGCCCAGTTTAGTCTGATAGGAGAGTTTGTAAAAACAGGAGCAAGGCATGGACTTAATAATCTGGTGCCTTGGATTTCTACGTAGACTCCCTTAACTATTCCCCACTTCAGATAGACAGATAGGGCTGTATCTTTGGTATCTCTAAATTGGGGATTAGGCATAGGCTTTGAGGAATGATTTTTCCTAGGTGGAATTTAGAGAAGAGGACCCTCTCTCACAGACCACTTTTTTTTCTCCCCATGAATGAGCAACATTAGGGCTAGGAAAGGAGTCATATTTGTGTCTGATTTTTGTAACTTCCAATATTAAAATGATTTATTCAGCGAAGTCCTGAAAATAAATCTGTAGATGAAAAATAGTTTAGAGATTGATGAAAATTTAAAAGAATCTTTGAAAATAGCTACTTTTCTTTTATTTTAGAACTGGAGAATCTTTAATGCTCCAACCTGGTTCTTTTAACTCATGGACATTTAAACAAGTAATATGTGAAACAGATAAACCTTACCCAGTAATTAGGGCATAGGTAGCATTACCCTTGAGGCAATGGGGTGGATCAGGGCAGGAGTAAAGGGGAGTTTATTTTTTATAGTATAAATAAAAAAAAAATCTGATTTTGTTATTTCAATACTTTTTTTTTAAAGATTTATTTATTTATACAGAACTGGGGTACAAGTCAGAGATGTGGAAGGTGAGAGGATTCATCAGGAACAGAGTGGGGAGCAGAACAGGCTGATGGATGAAGTACACTGCTGAGGGGAGCAGCGGGCGGGTCAGGAGAGGTCTGCCGCGCAGTGTTATCACATCCTAGGCAGGCTGGGATCGAACTCATGCAAGTGGCTTAAGCTTCTCAGTGCAGTGCTTTAACCTGCTGCTGCGCCACCAAGGAGGGCCTCAATACACTTTTGTCTAAAAGTGTCTTGGTCCCATTGTCCTTATCAGATAACCTGTTTTAGAGTGTAGTCACTTAAAAAAAACTTTAAGATTCCAAGCAATGGAGAAAATGAAAACATCATCTTTTTTTTTTTTTTGAATAAAAAGACCAATATTGCCAATATTGTCCTTACGCTCCCTTCTCTCCCAGTAACTTTGGAGTCTCTGATTGTTTAGAAAATGTCTAGATCCTTCTGGCCAATCTGGAGAATTTCTTGTCAGTTGCAGTTGAAACTAGTCCTTTCTGAAGGACCAGAAACTAAGCAAACTGGTTGCAAAGCTTGGAAGAGATTGCAGCTCCTTAACATTTTTGCCTAACATTTGGTGACCTAAGAATAAATTCACTATTCAACTGGTAATCAAAGTTGTAGCCTACTGACTCTTGTATTTTTGGTGTCAGTTCAGCTCAAGATAGTTGAGTACCTAATGTGTCAACTTTACAACCTTATTTTGCACGATATCTCAAGCATTATGTGGTTGTTATGACAGAGCATTTGCACTGGAAAGCACCTCGACCAGGCAACCTAGCAACTTCTGCTCAGCTACCCAGAGCAGTAGTCAACTGAAGGACTGTTCTCCATTCTCTCAGTGAACGTGTCTCCCTGCTGTTACTTTCTGCTGTTCCCAAAGGCCCTTCCCCCTAATCTGCTCTCAGTCTTTTGGAGGCTCAAGGCCAATTATCTCCTCCACCAGCTTAAAGTCTTCTTCCTTTAAGCTTGTAAGACACGGTATTTTAGTATTTTATCTCTTCCCCTGACATTATTCTCTACCTTACTACACTCATTTATAAACACGCTTTATCACCCTTTGAGTTGGCCATAAGCATCTTGTTAGCTCAACCCCTTACTCTTACCAAGATTAAAATGCATTGCTTTTTATAAAGCAAAACCTTCCCCAATTTTTGGAATACTTTCAACCCTCCCTGGTGGTTGGTATTACAGTTCTTTTACCCTGTTACTTTGAAGGTAAAATTTATTTCTTTCAGGGACCTGGGTTGATGTAATTTCTTTAGCATAGTAAAACTGAGACTTTTGTTCCACATTGCTAAATTGTGTATTTAGTTGGATTTTTTCAGTGTGAATTCAGCATTGTAGTTTCGCAAAGAGACAAAAGGAATTTCTTATACCACAAGCCTGATTACCTTTTAGCTGACTGTATTCTATATTTAAAATTTATTTTAAATATAGAGGATGAGGCAGTGTTTTTTCCAACTGAGACTGAGAAGGCTAGGTTCTCAGTTAAATAACAATTTTGGGGCCTCATTACTTGCTTTCCCTAGGAAAATACCCTAAACAGAGTGAAACACATCTTTGGTTCTCTCTTTTATTTCAGTGAAGAGCATTTTGCAATTCAGATAGTACCACCACTTCTGCTTAATATGAAAGCCCATCTTTGTGCCACTCAGTGAAGGCCCGATGCTTAGTTCTTCGTTGATCCAATAATGTCTCAGCTTTGTGTAGACAGATCAATTGGCAGCTGATAAACCATCACTTGAAGAGGAATGGCAGAAGGAATGGATGTGGACGGAAATAATCTGATAAAGACTTTGGGGAGGAGGATGTTCTTTCAAAAGTAGGGCACATTTGCTGAACAGGGAGCAAGGGAAATGATGGTAGCGTTTGATTAGAACAAACAGGAAGAAGAGACCAAATGGCCAAAGATTTCAGTATTTATTTCCCATTTGCAAACTTCCAAGAAGATAAAAGTATTTTCTAGGTGGGCTTGGGTTTGTATCTCCAGGGAGAGCTCCAGTGAACCTCAAAGTACCATGCCCCTGGGTAGAGAAATGCCACACACACCCCTACATTCCACCATAAAGAATTTTGTTAAGCAAACCCTTGAGGACATATAGCTGGTTCCTGGGGAATTCAAAATCAGAGTAACTCATGCACACTCTTCACTGTGTTCTCCAGATCCGAGGTTTAAGTCTAAGGCTATAAAAGGTCTCCCATCTTCCTTCTTATTCAGTTTTCCTTAATTAAGTCATAATGATTAACATCTTCAAAAACCCATCCAGAAAGAATCTTTTTAGGTAGAGGAGGTAGAATTTCAACTAAGTGTACTTATCTGTGGTGATGTTTTATTTTTAATCCTGTCACTGTGATGGGAAAGAAGGGCTGCATGTTTAGAGATGATTATTTTGCACATTCTCTTTCTTTTATGGTTAGTAAGTATATTAAACACATTCTAATTTTCAAGAAGCTGCCTAGCCCTGGCGGTTATGGCTGCGGTGGTGGGAGGGATACAGCCACACATCATTTTTCTTCTCTTTTAACTTAAGTTTTACACAAAATCTGTTTTGAGAGGGAAATGGGGCATACTAAGCTAATGACAGCTTTCCCCTTTTATTTTTCCCACGTCAGAGCAACGCGCTCCTATCAACTCCTTCGTGTGCCTGAATGTTGGCAAGGCTGCATTAATTAAATGAAGCCTCAAACAACTCGACAAAATGAAAACACATACACAGAGTCTCCTTCCCCCTCCCGAAAGGAGGGGAGCTGGGGCTAAATGTGTGGGCAAACAGAGTAAAGCATTTTCCAAAGTGTAGTTACTGCGAGTACTAACTGCCCCTTCTACAGGACATAGCGATGTCCCACGCGCTGGGAAAAGTGCTCAACTTGTCACTGATTCCCATTGGGTCACTACAGACCCGCCAACCGCAGGGAAGGTGGACGTGCGGGAAGCTCATTTCTACTCCTGGGGAGGGGAGATCGGCGACCCATAAAGGGTCCAGAGGAAAAACGTTCCCCAATCCTCACCCCGGCCCTTCATAATTTGGTTACAAAAGAATTCATAATTGGGTTACAAGAATTCTTTACTTCTTGCACTTCTCTAGAGCACTGGGTTTCACCGCTTGGGTTCGAGGCTGCAGTCACGCTGCAGCTTGGCGGGACGTCGGATCCGACTCCCGGACGCTCAGAACTGCAGACGCCAGAAGGGCGAAGAGTAAGAGCTGCGGCTGCAGAATTCAGAGCTGCTCAACACGCCGCCGCGGCCCCAACCAGAGATTAGTTCCCGGGCGGGTCCCTCCCTCTTTCGCGGGTGAATGAATGATTAGTCAAACAGCACCTCCCCGCCCCAGTCCGCCCAGGCTTGGAAGGGAGGAGTCAAGGAGCCACTGTTAGTATTTTTTTAAGGGCGAAGAGCGTTCGCTCGGTGCGTTTATTAATCGGCCTTGCGTGCCTTGTCAACTTCTGTCCTTCCTGTACCAGAACAAGCAGACACATCAGCACAGCACACTGATCTCCCAGGCCCCTCACCCCTGTCTATCCGCCTCAGCCTGCGAGACAGTTGTCGCGTCCCCGCCAGAGGGAAGCAAAGCAGGGCTTGCAAAGTTGCGGGCGCCCTCCCGCGCCCCATTTGTTGCTCCACAAAGCCGGGCGCCGGGCAGTGAGCAGGCTGGTGCGGCGCCCCGCGTTAGGGAAGGGTTCCCCGGGGAAGGGAGGAGGTGCCGCGCACACAGCGCTGGAGAACACGCCTGCCCCGCTCGGATCTGCGCCTCCCGGGCCCGCGGCTTTCTCCGTCGGGCTGTGGAGCGGGCTGCACGCCGGGCTGAGACGCGACCCGGGCGCTGGGCTCCTACTGTCCCTCCAGCGAGGGGGCGCCTCCATCGGTTGTGGCAGGC